TGATTTCATTTTTGCCAGATCCTCTTTTGTTGCCAGTTCAGAGAGTCCAGGTGGTTGAATATCAGAGTGTTCCATCTCGTTTCCCTTTGGGGTTGCTGGAGGTGATCTGGAAGTCTGTTTTTGAGGCTTGTTTATGTGTCTTCTCATTTCCACGGTGGGGGGGTGCTTCTGGCACCCACTCATCTCACCTTCTCTGCCCTAGGAGCTTGGGATGGCAGCAGGGGAGCTTCCTTCCAGGTGCTGGGACCCGCTCAGCTTCTGTGCCCTAGAAGCTTGGGATGGCGGTGGGGGAGCTTCCTTCCAGGTGCTGGGACCAGCTGAGCTTCTCTGCCCTAGAAGTAAACTTATTTTTTATAAGTAGAAGGTATATACTCTGAAATAATAAAAAAAGGCTAATATAGTAAGTACTTAGGCCAGTGAATAGTAGTTTATTATCATTATCTAGTAGTATCATCTACATAATTGTATTGCTACACTTTTCTGTGACTGGTAGCACAGGTTTGTTTACATCAGTATCACTACAAATGTGAGTAATGCATTGCACTATAATGTTATGGCAGCTAAGATGTCATTAGGTAAAAGGAATTTTTTAGCTCTATTATAATCTCATGAGCCCACTGCAGTATATGCAGTATATTCTCAACCCAAATGTCCTTATGTACCACATGACTATATATAAATCATCAAAGGACAGAATCACAGAAAGAAACAGATGAGACAACAAATATTTCTGGATCTGTGTGTGGGGGGGGGTACTCAAGCAATCTGCCACTAAAATATACCCCAGCCCTATTTTGGGAGATTTTTAACACATCTCTAGAAACTGATAGATCATATAAGCAAAAAAAAAAAAGAGGATTATTTGAAATTTTTATTTAACAAACATTTATTCAGTAACTATGAAGTGCCAGGTGCTTTCTAAATGCTAGGTGTATAGCAGTGAACAAAGCAGTTAAAAATCGCTGTTTTGGAGCTGAGGGTGTAGAGCACTTGCCTAGCATGTTGGAGCCTTGGGTTCAATCCCCAGCACTGCAAAAAACAAAAAACAACTTATTTTCCAAATTTTATAGAGACAAAAGCAGAGCTGTGATTCCCTTAGACTAGGGTAGAGCAGACATTAATGGTAAAAGGGTACAAAGAAGGTTTTGGGGGCAATGACAATGCACTAAATCAAGTTTGAACAATTCTACAAATTTACTAAAAATTTTTTTTCAAATTTACTAAAATTTTAAAAACTCACATTCTAATGGAGAGACTAGGCAATAAATAATATATGCTATATTTAATGGCAATAAATGCTATGGAGAAAACAAAGCTGGGAAGGGTTGTGTAGAGGAAGGAGGAGTTGCAAGTTGCAGGCAAAGCTGGGCTGAGAAGGTGTCATTACAGGACATCTGTGGAACTGTCTAGGGAAGTTTGTTCCAAGCAGAAAAATAAGAAAATAAACAAGCAGACCCCAAATACAGAAAACAAATAGCTTAAGATGTCAGAAACCAAGTATAACAGGTCACACTCAAAGAACTCAGAAGAAAGAAACCAATAAAAATAAAGGCAGAGGTTAAACAGAACATTGACAATAATTATACACTAGCAAACATCAATGAAACTAAAGCTGCTTTTTAAAAAAAGAACTAGCAAAACTAATCAAGAAAACAGTAGACAAAAAGGGAAACATTAGAAAAGAACCAGCTAAATTGCAGAGTAGGAAAGGAAAAATAACTACAAACACAACCAATTTTAAAATAATAAGATGAGTTTTTGACAAAGTAGATTAAAAAAGATAAATTTCTGGGGAACCCCCCCCCAGGAATCAAGAGATGTGGAGGGAGGGGGGAAGGAGGAAGAACAAAGGAAGGGAACATAAAAAGAATTAAGATGTGTTATGAACATGTACCAACCCCCCCACAATGAATGTAATTATTATGTACTGCATATATGTACTAGTAGAAAATTTTAAATGTCCAAATTGATACCAAAAGGGAGACATTTGAAGAGACTAATAATTTTTAAAGAATTTGACATGCTTATTAACCTTGTCCAAACAAAAAAAGCCCTACTTCAAGTCCTTTTGCTATTGGGATTTGACAATTTCCAAAGAACTAAAAATAATAAAATTTTATTTTACTTTGATACTGGAGATTGAACCCAAGGCTATGTGTGTGCTAAGCAAGTGCTCTACCACCGAGATACATCCTCAGTCCTATTTTTAAGTTTTATTTTAAGATAGGGTCTCACTAAGTTGCCCAGGCTGGCCTTGAATTTATAATCCTCCAGCCTCAGCTTCCTGAGTAGCTGGGATTTTAGGCATGCACCACTGTGCCTGGTTGTACAAATAAAATATTTACTGTCTGAATCCAACCATATATTACAAATATAATGTATTGGGATCACATAGTGTTTAACGCTAGGTGGGAACACAAAAACTCTATTGGTGATAACTGCCTGGCATAGCATAAATATTTAGTATCAGTTATCATAATGTATTATTAATGATGGCTCGAGTATAAACTGTTACAACTTAAGAAAATAATTTGACATTATCTTTTAAATATTTATATCACCTCTAAGTTGACATTTATGCTCCTATTTATATGCCCTAAAATTATTTACTTACATGCAATTGTAGATGCATATAAGAATATTCTTAGAAGGTTTCTTTGAAATAAGAAAAAAGAAATAACCCAAACATCCATCAACAGGAAAATGGAATGCTGCTCAGTAGTGGAGATGTGTGTAAGAAAATGAAGACCAAACATGAAAGAAGACACATCTCACCAAGAGAAGTGATTTACAATCAAGGGAGCATAGTGCACTATAAATTGTGACAGCAGGATAGAAATAAAAACGTAAGGGTTTGTTATAAGGAATGTAGCAAAGAAACTGAAGCATAGGCCTGGGAAGGTTCTGAGACTCTTCATCTTTCATCTCTACTCCTCCATATGGATTGGTTGTCCTGTCCTGTTTCCATGGACTTCTTCCTCTCCATCCTCTACAGATTCATAGTGAAGACAGCTGCCTTACAGTTCTTATATTTGTAAGTCATAATTCTAGCCACGTAAAGAGTCAGTAACAATTAAAAACTTCCAGGGGTTTCCAAATGAATCATACAAGTGCCAAACTTACATTCACATACAGGTTAAGGGACAAGAGTTTTGGGGCCGGGGATTTAGCTCAGTGGCACTGCGCCTGCCTCACAAGTGCAAGGTCCTGAGTTCGATCCCTGGTCCAAAAAAAAGAAAAGAGACAAGATTCTTGTTTCTTACTCCTCAGGTCTGTGTTTTTCACAAGTGCATTTTGTCTATATCCCCAACCAACACATTATGTGAAGTGATTCTTCAAAGACTCAGAGGAATTTTCCAGGTAGAGGGGTATAGCATTCTGGATACAGGAAGCAACTGGGTTGGAAAAGGGAAGAAACATTATGCTCTTAAAAATGAGCATTCTAAACAATGAAAAATAAAAATGAGCATCCTAAATGAGAAGTAACTGGACCCCAGGTGTGGCCACTACACTAATTTCATATTGGGCTCTCAAATGAGGGGAAGAAAAACAGACAGATTTGACAGGGTCTGATTTTGAAAATAGGGAGGCTTGAAAACTGAAGGTTCTGGAGTTCAAGAGTATCACAAAATCATGCACAGTTTAGAAAACTAGACCCAAATCTTTCCTAACTCTTCCCCTTCCCACAAGCCAGCTCCAAAGGCTCCTTAACCACATGGTCAAGTACAGTCACAGCAGCAACCCCACTTCTCTGGTACCAAATTCTGTCTTAGTTACTTTTACTCACTGCTGAGATAAAATACCCAAAGTTAAAAGACAAAAGCTTGAGCTGGGGATTTAGCTCAGTGGTGCCACTGCTCACCTTGCAAACACAAGGTCCTGAGTTCAGTCCCCAGTACCAAAAAAAAAAAGAGAGAGAGAGAGAAAAACAAGGTTTATTTTGCTCACAGTTTGTACAGGTTTCAGTCCATAGTTAGCTGGCTCCAAGGTAGGGTGGTGTGGCGGACAGGAATTGCAGAGGAGAAACAGTTCATGGCAGGCAGAAGGTAGCAAAGCAACAAGGGACAACCACAGTTCTTTCTATCCCTTATATCTCATCCAGGCTACTTGGGGCAGACAGCACTCATGCCCTTAATCCTAGTGCCCTTGATCCTAGCATTGCAGCATGAATCAATTCCAACATCACACACTCTAGATCTAGCCACCTCTGAAAAAGCCCCACCTATGACCACATGAGGCTTTGGGGGGACATCTAGACACGAGCCATAACACTACCACAATGTGGAAAACAAATCATTCGTGTAGTCACTAATGTTAAATACTAAATGTGGTAATGAAAATCGTTTCTTCAATTTATTCTAGTCTTCAATTTAATTTGGATTTGTTGGCAAATCTTTTCTGGATAAATCAGGGAAGTTACTAAGCAACCATTGCCCTTGACCAATAAATATGCTGTTTATTCACAGAATCGCCCTCCTCACCACCTGCGGAACAGAAGACAAATGATGCACCTTCACTCCAGCATACTTAGAGGCATTATGAATAAAGAGTCTACTAAGAAGGTTTATCACGCCTCCCAGAAAAGTCAGCACACTACAAATGCAGTGCAGTTTATGGACTATGAATAGGAAACACTCTGAAATTAAGTGATATAAACAAGCCATACTTTAAACAAGATGCTCTAAGCATGCTATACTAAATGTATACCAGTATTTATACTGATCCATTTATTAACATCCTGTGTGCTCATCTTTCCACACTTACATAATTTACCAACATTTGGTTTCAGTGAGGTCGCACAGTCCATTAACTATATTTCTCATTACTTTTCATCAGCCAATAATATTACCATAGTCGTAATACTTCCTGTACATAGGTGAACTTTTCTTACAGCCCATTTCTATTTAAAGTTATAACCACAACAATTCATGTGCAGACAGTTGTTGGAGCAGAATTTCATTTAATTATGTAATTCTAAGTAGCTGAAGTATAGTCAAGGTTCATAAAAGGGAAAATAATCAGAGCAAGAATAACCCATCAGTGGTGGGTGTAAGAATAAGGCAATTAAGATACTTGGCCCCTTCTGTGTGTAGAAGGCTGGAACACATCTCTTCATTTCTCGTTCCCCTGGTATTTCCTCCTGTCATAGACAGAAGGGCAATTTATTTCCCCTTACATGGTGAGAAAGGTGAAGAAATAAAGAATGCAAAGGGCTGGGGATTTAGCTCAGTGGTGCCGCTGCCTGCCTCGAAAGCACAGGGTCCTGAGTTTGATCCCCAGTACCCCCCAAAAAGAATGCAATTTTAAAATAGATATAATAAAAGCCTTGCTACCTTCCTTGCTAAGGGTTATGAAGTTCTGGTGAGGAACATTTGAAATTCCCTTGTAAACTGTAAAGGGAAAACCTTCTTCTGTGGCAGCCTTGCTTAAAATCTGGCAGTGTCTTCCCTAGGACTTCAGGATGAAGTTCAGAATCTGTGTATGCCTCAGTGATCCTCCCTGACCTCAGCTCACACCTGCAGACATCTCCTATCTCTCAGTCACCTCCAGTGTTCCACATACATGACAAGCTTCCATTCATGCTCATCCTTCTCTTTGTACCCTTACTTCTCTGTCCCTTACATCTGTGTAGGTATTCCTCCTCCATGTCCCCTTCGAAACACATGCTTTCTCTCAAGCAACACTTCCCAGCAGCAGCACCGTGGGCATTCTGGACAGGACAGGATTTTTTTTTTAATTGAGGAGGGTTGGCAGGGCACTATAGAGTGTTTAGCAGCATCAGTGACCTCTATCCACTAGATGCCAGTAGCAGGCCCCTCATTTTGACAACCACTTTCCCCAGAAACAAATTGCATTTGCTGAGAACCACTGCTCTAAGGTACAGCTTATACTGGAACCAGTTGTAGTCTAACTATAGCCAGATGCTCACAAAATGTACACACAAATAAAAATGCAGCTTTCTTTGTTAGTAGAGGACTGATCTTGCTTTCAAGCCACCAAGCCACCATCACACTGGTGAGAGAAAATATTTGATCTGGCTAATTGAAAGTATCCTATTCTTTTCTGGTTTAAAACCTTTTATTGCATGAAAAGTGAAGCATTCCCCTCTGAAGTTTGATTTCATGTTTACTCATAAACAGCAGCTGCTCTCAAAAGTTGTTCACTTAATCCCTGGTACCAAAAAAAAAAATTGTTCACTTTTCCTTGGCCTGGTGGCACATGCCTGTAATCCCAGCACTTAGAAGGCTGAAGCAGGAGGATTGCTGTAAATTCAAGGCCAGTCTGAACTACATAGTGAGACCCTGTCTCAAAAAACAAACAAACAAAAGTTGTCCACTTCTGAGTAATTGTGAGTTTGCCTCAGAGCACACAAATGCTCTAAAGGGCTTTTTGTTTTATGTCGTAGGAGAAGTGGGCAGAATGAGCTGGATGCTCAGAAGTTTGCAAGTTAAGCCATGGAGCAGAAGCAGGGAGGGGACACTACATCTGGTCTTCTCTCTGCCTAGATCTATTTCCAACTTAAAGTCTAAGCAGGGTGTTTTCATTCAGCACCTTTCAAAGGACACTTGGAGTTTACCTAGCATTTCCCCAGAGATGACAGGAACAAAATCCTACACGTCAAGATCTCCCCAGAACTTTCCAGGTTATTGAAGGTCTCTCTCCCTCCCTCAACTCTGGAATGGAAGAATGTGGAGGTAAACAAGCCCAGGTGGGTTGCCCCCTCCACCTTTCTCTGCCTCTCTTCTTTGAACCAAACAGGCTTTGTTTCCCCTTCTCTCCTTTCCCAGGAGGGATTGCTCTAATGTCATAGCCTCTTCCTTCCCCAAATGGCATGTTCTGTTACCCTTTTCTGTAACCACAAAGGCAGAAAGAACCAAGCTCACTGATGAGGGGGTAATTCAAACTCCTTCAGTTAGCATATCTGTCTGAAAATATATAGTCATCTATGTCCTCATTTGTGTCCCTAGAAGGGCAGGATTGTGCTTGCCTCACGGACTGTTATATCCCCACTACTTGGCATGATGCTGCTATCATAAGTTAACGAGAATGCAGCAAGCTTGGAATAACAAAAATGTATTATCTCGTAGTTCCCATGGATTAGGAGTCAGGCATGGCATAACTTGGTCATCTTCTTAGGTGACCTGTATTCAAGATGTCAACCACCAAGAGACAGGATCTCATCCGAGGCTCAAGGACTTTATATGGTTGTTGGCAGAATCCATTTCCCTGCCACTATAGAGCAATAGTGACTTGCTGCAAAGCAAGCAAGAGGCTCTTTCTGACACTTTCAGAGCTTTCATTTGATTTAGACTCATCCAAGATAATTGCCCTTTTGATTAGCTCAAAATCAACTGATTTGCAAAGCTTTTAACCTTTGCCATAAAGCCCAATCCAATCACAGGTGCAGCATTCATCATATTTTCAGGTCCTGCCCACAGTGGAAGGAAACACAAAGAATGAGTCATTGAGAATCATCTTAGGACTCTGCCTGCTATGGTACCTCAAAGGTTTGTTGAATGAATAAATGAAAACAAGAAGAAAGATATGTACCCCATTTGTCCTTACAATAATTCCAGGATGTAGGCAGTATCACAAAGGATTTGCCTTTATTCAAAGAGGTAGAAATTGCAAGATAGGCTGAAGACTAAGGTCTGTTTGAGTCCTCAGAAAAATATTCCCCTCAAACCTCAGCTGTGGTATGCTGTGTGTGACCAGTGCCTTTCACACAAACAGGTTCAGCCCTTCTGCTCCCACTCTCAGGTTAGAGCCAGCCATGAGGTGGAGCCACAGGCCCATGAGTGCTTTCACTGTTCATCCTCCCAAACACTGGGTCACCCACAGAATGCAGAGGCCAGTCCTTGGAACTAGGGCTTCTGGGCACAAAGGAGAGCAAGGATCAGCTTGCTCCTACCTATAGGTTTTGCTCACAGCCCAACCCTAGAAAAATTGGCACCTGCAGTAGATACAGAGGGGAATCTAGGGAGCCATTTCTTTTTTTTTTTTTCCCTCCTTCCTCCTCTTAAGGGTAAGTTGGGCTCTGTGCTCTGGTGGGAATAGGATGTAGACAAGTTTCCAGACACAGAAAGGCAAGAATCCTGGGCACCCCAGGGAGAGGTTATTGGGTCAGTTTGGACAGCAATGATAGTGGGTTGTCAGTGGTGGTGGTACTGTGGTGGCTTTGTTTTGTTTTGTTTTTGTTTGTTTTGTACTAGAGATTGAACCCTGGCCTCTGAACTGAGCTACACCCCAATCTCTATTTATTTATTTATTTATTTATTTATTTATTTATTTATTTATTTATTTATTGTTTTACTTTGAGATAAGGTCTCTAAGTTGCACAGGCTGGGCTCAAACTTTCAATCCTCCTGGCTCACCTTCATAGAGAGCTGAGATTACACCTGGCTCTTGGTGATAGTGTTTCATATATGTTAAAAGCAAAAGAATTTGTAGAAGAAGAGTAACTTCTTCTTCTATCTGTCTCTGAACCACTCCTGCTTGTGTCTCTTTGACTGTGCACCACATATTCTATCACCTCTATGTGTCTTCCCATGGCCTCTTTTGCCTCCCTTCCCTTAATTTTTCCTGGTTGTTTATGATCTTTAACATGCAATACTCTTTTTGTCTGCCTTTGTGATGATACATTTACATTTTTATCACCTCCAGATTCCATATTAAAGTCTCCCCCCATCGTAATATAATATGCATGATGTCAATCATATCTCTCCACAATCTCACAGCATGCCAGGCACAAATCCAAGGCAGATGATATTTGTTTGTATATTTTCATAAGCCATGTTAGGTTTTAATTGCAATGAAGCAATAAAACAAAGATATGAATACATTAATCTGTAGCTGGCGTCTTTGTCATTCACTTCATGTTGAGCTCCCCATTGAAATTCAGGCATTTCTCCTCATCAGTGGCTGTTCCTCAGTCAACTGAGAGCTTCTAAAACAAGTTATCTGCAACTGTATGCACATCCAGCTCATTCCATCCCACTTCCTTTTCCTGAGATATAAAACAAAATAAACTGCTAGGACATTTTTGTGCAGAGAGGCAAACTTATTGTTCACTCAGAAGTGAGCAACTTTGAGAGTAGCTGCTATTCATGAATAGTCATGAAAGAAAATTTCAGAGAGGAACTTTGAGATTTCCTACAAATAAATCTTCTAACTGCTACTTATATAGAGGCAAAAATAATAAAGAATCCTCCAAAGTATAGCCAAATTGTTCAAAAGAAGCTTTTATTGATAAAATATGAACATTTGAAGTGAAAGTGCCTGTTCTTATTCTCTAATCTTGTTCCCAATAACCATTCATCCTGTTGATTTCCCTTCCAGCATCCAACTTGATTAAAATGGAAACAGGGGCCTGGGGTGTAGTTTAGTGGTAGAATGCTTGCCTTGCATGCATGAGGCCTTAGATTCAATCTCCAGCACTACAAAAAATAAAACCACAACAAAATAAAATTTAAAAACAAACAAAAAGTAAAAAAGGAACTGCATGGAGACACAGAGACAGGAAAAAATGCCGTCATTTGTGGAAATGAAAGCAGTCACACCTCAAGGTCAGAGAAAATGGTTGGTGGTGGGAGATAAAAGTCCAAACCTTATCGCTGATGGTCCTTTGCTAAGAAGTTTGGATCATCACAGACAACCTCTACACAGAGTGCCTCCTGTTGTGGACTGAATGGTGACCACCCAAAAGTATGGCCACAACCTAAGTTGTGAATGTGACTTTATTCTTTTTTTAAAATTAATTTTATTGGTACATTTTAGGTATACAATATAATGACATTCATCATTGGAAATCTGCACCTTTACATAATCTCTCTTGGTTCTTATTTGTGAATGTGACTTTATTTGGAAAGAAGGTCTTCCCAGATGTAATTAATTTAGAGATCTTAAATTCATATAATCCTGGATTATTCACTTTAACCCTAAATCCAATGGCAAATATCTTTAATAGGAGACAGAGGAGAAGACACAGACACAAGGGAGTTCAAGAGAACACAGAGGCAGAGATTGGAGTGATCCAGGCACAAACCAAGGAAGCTGACAGAGGCAAAGGACAGAATCTCCTCTAGGACTTCCAGAGGGAGCATGGACATTCTGTGAACAACTTGATTTCTGATGTTTAGCCTTCAGAACATAAGGGAATAAATTTATGTTGCTGTAAGCCACCCAGTTTGTGGTCACTTGTTACTGCAGTCCTAGGAAACCAATACCCTATCCCATATACTAGCCTTCATGGTGATCTGCTACTCATCTTTCACATCCAGCTCAAGTATGACATTCTCTGTGAAGACTTCCTGATGCTCCTAGGCAGAGGGAATGCCCTCTCCGCTCTTACCTTGTGCAGGGTTTTTCACAGCGTCTATCACATTTGCCACGGGGTTTCTCCCATTATCCTAATTTCATTATCTGGTGACACCCAGCTATCTTTGTTCTTGGCACAATTCCTAAACTTTTCAGGAACTATCTTCAAAGATCACCAGACCCCTTTGCAAAGGTGAGACTAAAATCTTGGAACTCGGCCTCACACTGAAATGATCCTCCCACCCTCTCACACTTTTCTTACAAGAGTTTTGAAGTGAGGATAAAAACAAATTTAGATTTGTTATCTAAAGCTCTACCTGGAGCCATGTGCCCTATGTGCCTTTTTGCACAGCAGGGGCAACCTCTCCTTACCTTCTTCAACTCTTGCCATCAGAAATTGGCTCTCCTGGCTTTTCCTCACTGTGTTGCAGCAGCTCATGAAAGCTGCACAGCTGCCTTCCTGGGAGAAAGGCCAGAATTAATCATCTCACATCTCTAATAAGAGGTTCAATACATATGTGAGGCAAAATTGACACAAAAAGAATGGAATTTTATGAACTCTAAGAAATGATAGGTTCGCTTCCAAAATCCCTTTCTACTTTGCAGTGCTGGGATTTACTTCTCTGTCTTTCCCTGCCAGCTTCAGGGTCACTGGCTTCTGGAGCCTTCCTTTTAGAGTCCCCATCCCATCTGCTGACTCCAATTGCTTTTCCCTGCTGTCATTCTATTCTGTCTCAGGACTTATTCTGAAATGCAAGCTCTGCAGAGCAAAATGCCCAACATCCCTAGGTAGCTATTCATCTAGTTTGGATCATGAAAGTTCCCCAAAGGTTCATGTGTTAAAGGCTTGATCCCCAGCCCATGGCATTATTGAAGGTGGAGGAACCTTGAAGAGTGGTAGTTGGGAATGTTTGGAAGCCTAGCCCCTTCTTCTTCACTTTCCTTCCAGGATACCATGAGGTGAGCAGCTTCCTCTGCCACATATCACATGCTCTGACCATGATGTGCTGTCTCATTATAGGCCCCAAACTAATGGTACAACCCACCACTACTGAAACTTCCAAAACTTTGACCCAAAATAACCCTTTCCTGTTTTTAAGTTGATTATCTTGGGTATTTTGTTATAGTAATAGAAAGCTGACTAACATACCTAACCATTTCCCAGTTATAATCTTTCCTCACCCTGAGCAGCTTACCCACACATTTCACTCAAATATTTACAATGTTTTCCTCGATATGTTAAGGGAAAGAAATTTTCTTCATTCCCTGAAACATGCAAGATTTTCCCCAAAAATATATACACACTTCAAGAGAAGAAAAACTTGTATAAATATTTTAATACTAAATTTATTGAGACATCATGAGATTAGTACAAGTTACCTTTGTCCTCTACAATTACAAGGTGTGCTTAAAGTGGTAGCTATTAGCTTCTACTATTTATTTAGTGATGAACTGCTGCTTAGGTAACCTTTGTCATTGAGATTGCTGCACAACCATTTTCAATTTCTTCTCTAAGGGCCTGCAGTGTAATGGGTTTTCTGTGATATAGCACATTCTCAAAGGTTCTTCATACGAGTGTAACACTATTTTTAAAAATCATACTATTTTTCTTTTACTGAAGTGTGTATACATATTTTTTTGGCAGACTCTGTATAAAAACCTTTTAAAAAATAAAGTAATGTGTGACAATGTGATGTGCACCATACTCTGACAGAAAAAAAATTTTTGTTAAGATATAATGTGTTGATAGAATTAGGTATCAGAAAAATCTTTTAGGAAATTGACTTGCCAGTGTCTAAATATGCTTCCTTTTAGACCTGGAAATCCTCCTAGCAAGACTGTCCTTTGAAAAATCTCTTAGAAGTATACATGGATATATGCATAAGGTGCTGGTGTAATGGCAAAATACCACAGGGTGATTGTTTCCTAATAAATAAGAAAGTAGTTAAATTATAGTACATCCACACAAAGAGCACTGAGGCCTTCACAAAGAGTACCTTAGATGTGCATTTTCTGACCTGAAAGAATGCTTATTGTCTATTGTGGAGGCTTGTCATCTATGTTAGAGTTTATAAATTTACTCTCACTACATTCAGATGAATAAGTAGAATGTTACTCTATTATATCCCAGTGTGGATCTGATCTTATTAATTCCCATCATTTGAATGTAAAAATTTATTACAAAACCATAATTTAAACCCAATCCAATGATCTCAATAATGGTTACCCTTTCTCTTCTTGTTTAACTCAAGCAATCACTCAACCTTACCTCTCTCTAAGAGGAGGATTGGGTCCGTGGGGAAGGGCGTGGTTTCGGTGACCTGTGGGGCTTGACATCCTTCCGTCCCTTGTGGGCAGGCTGGCCAGTGTCTGCTTAGGTGTGAAGTGTCCATTCTGAATCCCTGGGCCCTCTGCTGTCATCAAATTCTCCTTTTCCTCCAGCTGTCTGTACTCCACAAGTCAGCTGGGGTGATCTGTTTTAAAAATGTAAATCTAATCATGTTGCTCCTTTTGCATAGCAACCTTTAACACCTCCTCATGTCCACAACATTGAGGAGGCTTTGCATGTGTCACCCCTACTTTCTCTCCTTTCACAGCTGTACAATCCCTCCCTATCCCAAAGCACATGGTCTTTCTTTCAGTTCTTTGATTTTTTTTTTTTTTTTTTGTACTGGGGATGGAATTCAGGACCTTGCGCTTACAAGGCAGGCAACAGCACCACTGAGCTAAATCCCCAGCCTTCTTTCAGTTTTTTAAATGTGTGAGACTCTTGTACCTATCACACACTCATTTGTTCTTCCCTTTATTAATTCCTATTATTCCTCTCAATCTATTCCCCCAGCGTCTTTTTCCTTTATCTCCTTGACATCCTCAATTTACCTACTTATATGCCACACTAAATCTCTCTTTAAAGCCCTTATCACACTTATAATCTTACATGTATTGTGACACATTTGGTACCTGAAATATATCAGATGCTTAATAAATATTAGTTTCTCTTTCTCCTTTCTGATTTATAATTTAGTCCTGTATAGCAGGTTGGTGCTCCCTGAAGCAATTCCTATTATCCTGTCCGCTATTTCCCTCTGTAGATTAATAATTTAAAACTCAAGTTTATAAAGCAGCTGGGAGATTTTGGTTAAAATGAATCAGCTCCCCAAAGCCCAATTGCATATGTCATTGCAATGTGGTATTAGTTTCCTGGGGCTGCTGTAACAAATTCCCATAAACTTTGGATGGCTTAAAATTTTATTCTCTTAGAGTTTTGGTGGCCAGAAACCTGGAATCAAGGTGTCAGTAGGATCATGCTCCTTGCAAACTCTTTAAAGGAAGATCCTTCCTTGCCTTCTCCTTGCTTCTGGTTGCTGGAAATACTTGGTGTCCTTTGGCTTGAAGACAAATCACTCCAATCTCTGCCTCTATCACCACAGGGCATTTTCCCCATGTGTCTGTGTCTAAATTCCCTCTTATAAAGTTCCCAGTCATTGGATTAGGTCTCATCCTACCCATTGTGGCCTTACTTTCACTT